ATTAAACAGGGCATTTTTCCAGGTAAGCTTTTTGGGAAATAAACTTACATTTTCTTATTGCTGCAGCATCTTCTCTTCCTTGTGTCAAGGTAACGACGAAATTGAGTATTGACTCAGCCATGGCGACGTCATTCGCCCAAACGCGGTCCTCAGCCATTCTTGTCATTAGCGTGATTAAATCCAATGGAAATTTGCTTAAAGCGCTGGTTCCAAGGCTTTGCTTTGTGAGATACGACTGTTCCACTTGTCCATTTGTCCCGGGTACAAGCAAAGCTAATAAATGTATATCCAACAACGATAAGGAAATGTAAACTGTCTCTCGAGTTGGACAAAACTAACTACATGAAATAGGCGAATTTACTGAATACGTTTGTCGAGTGTACATGCACCAAAAATTGCATATTCTTTTTTAAAAATTCGTTTATGGACCGGCAATGAGACGAAATATTGYAAATCAGCTATTCGATAATATTAATACCAACCATTTCCTTTGTTGCCTGGATCACCAGTATCTCCTGTTGGACCTCGCGGTTGACCTGTTCTGCGACAGAAAGTTTCACAATCCCCATATAATGAGAAACCATAACATTCCTCATCAATTGTGCATGAAAGACCAAGTCCTCCTGGTCCTCCTTGTCCACCTGAGACGAAGTATGATAAAGAAGATGTCATTTTGCAGTACATTCACGATAAAAWAYAAGAAAACATTTCTTTGGTGAGTGAATRACGAGGAAAGCAACAAAAAACGGTGTGGTTCCAWGGTTGTTAAGAAAAAGGCAACTAGACACATGGTACACATACTGGTAGTGAGGAATAGAATATAAGATGTAACAATAATCTCCTAATCAGAACCACAGTATGCCTTCAAAGATGCAAAATGAAAATATCAAAGTTTGGTGCCCTTACCAGGACCTGCACGTCCATTTTTAGCCGCCTGTCCTCCAGTCCCACTGCATGTTTTGAGATCAATATTTCCAAGCTGATTGATGTGAAGAGCTTGCCGTCCGGCGTTCCCGCCATTGCCTTTTTAAAATCAATAGAAGACAAAAATTGTGATCCAAAACACTAATGGCCAGCCAATCGAAWTTTTTTTGGAAAATTCGATAGAACAAGCGAATTGGAAAAAAGTCCGAAATGATACTGTTCGACAAGGTTGTATACACAAACACGGAACTGTGTGTTACGAAAAAGTAAACGCAGGCCACCGATTTTTTTACTCTTCTTTTAATTGATAATTTTTCTAAAGCTAAAGCAATTTTTTTTGGCTTCTTGTACAATGTTAAGTGTACATAGACGTATCATGTTGGCAGTGTTAACGTTAGAAGAGCATGTAGGAAAAAAAAGGCATTGAAAGTCGAATCATTCAGAGAACTGACGCTTAGTCCGAAACCTCACCAGATCTCCCGGCGTATCCTCCACTTCCTCCTCTACCACCTTTTGCTCCCTTCGCTCCTTTGATGTTACCACATCCAGTGACAACCCTCCCACTCTTTATAGCTACCTTAGGACAGTCATTTGGATCAACGTTTGGTTGCTGATAATGAAGAAAAAATGATGAAGGTTATTTATAAGGACATTTTTCTTTTAATTGTTTATGTTTTTAATTGGAGTGGGAATGAGACCAACGTCTTTTTTCATCCGTTTCGTTGTCTATGTTTCATATCATCTAATTTAGATGCGTTTGATGATGGGCTAGTTTTTTATTTTGGTACAAAGCGTGCAATAGTGCATATTCTAAATCGAATTTTCAATGTTCATTTGACAGAAAGGTCAAAACGGGAAAAAAAAACATGAAACTAAAATATCATCTTACAAATTTGATGGATACTGACAGGRAACACAGATTACTACTATCAAGCCAATTTATGCAGCTTGCTTTGTAAAGCATTTTCAACGGCAAAAGACAATTGGTTTATACAATTAATGAAAATAAGTTGGACCATTTAGTTGAATAAAAAGGCGTTAAACTTATCGTCTTTGAAATACCGTTTCTACGTTCCTGTCACCCGTATTTCCATCTTTGCCATTTTGAGCTCTGTTTCCATTGCTACCACTTGATTCAATKCTTATTTGACCAGAGGCTGAATTGGCGTAGATCTCCACTTATAACATAACATCAAATACAAAACAAATGTGAATACGTGTTAACAGAGCCTACAAAGAAAAGTAACTAATTAWATACAAAAAATTACAAAAGCAACAGAATCTCTAAAACAATGCAAGTACCATTACCAACATCACGACCTATACTTATACTAAACACAACAAGCAGCTAAAATAATTAAAAAGAATTAAAGAACAATGAAAAACAATTGTCAGGACAMCGATAAATAATACCAACACCAACACCAAAATTTACATAACTAGATATTTACAGGATTAATGGAAAATTCACAGGATTTCATAGGATTACAAAAAAATCAACAGTTGAATACAATGGAATTGTGTACCGTTAATCTACATAAGATGTTTCAATACTTTTGCGTACTTAGAGTGAGAATCGGTTGCAAATGTTTAGTTGTACTTTAACCCACCTGTAGGCCCGTCAACTCCATGTTTTCCGTCATGTCCATCTTGACCACCACTTTGATCGGGGAAATTTTGCTCTACAGATGGAGCCCTGAGATCAAGTTTGCTTCCTTGAAGAAACAACACTGCTCGGCTCATCATTGTTAGCTTTTTGATGCCTCGCAACTTGAGTGCAGTCTAAATGATATTTTGGAAATTTTAGATAAATATCGTGACTACCATGTTCTTTCCGTTGCTCCGAGAGTTTTGGTTTTCGTCCCACTGTCAAAAACCAGATAGAAAGAGGGTACGATGTGTACTAAAATAATTAATGTTGGGGTAGTGGGTGTAAGTGAGGATCGGACCTTTCTGAAAATTTGCCTTAAGTGTGCTATTAATCATGAATTTCATTCGTGTGAATACGAGATTGAAACATCACAGAAATAAAAACACGAAGGGATTTGAAATCCAGTATGGACAACACCAAAAAATGTTCGGTTTGAAAACTCGTACTCGTACTCAACCTCGTACTCGTTGTGGAATCTGAAGTTCCCTACTATACGTCAGAAAGCTTCCTAACAAAAGGATGCAGCTTCACGAGGTCCCAGTGTACCCAGTGGCCCACATCTACTTTAAGAGTTGCTATTACCTTAACATAAATTGTATCAGCWAGAACTTCAAGATCAATATTATTTGGACGGCCCTGTGTGTCTCCAAATTCATATTTCGGTGCACCTGTGTCTGTCTTAAGGTTTTTAAGGTGTTCTTCAACGTATTCCATATGAACAGTGCGCCCCATCACTCGATAACGGTCTGCATACGTGGACAGATGTATTGAACAGTTATTTTTCTCTAAGCAACTTATAAATTGAAAAATAATGAGCATAATGGTAGGGCATAGTCACTGCGCAGCTTTAACAAAATTCATTGAACAATATAACCACCATCTTGAATTTCGCTGTTTCACAACAGCCTTAATTATAGTGAAATTTGTAAACGCACTTGAAAACA